GCGAGGGCTCGTGGTGTCTCTGGCACATGAGGGCACCATGAGAAGGCAGCCGTCCGCAAGCCAAGAAGAGGCCCTCTCCAGAACCCGGCCACGCTGGCACCTTGGGCTCGGACTTCCAACCTCCAGAACTGTGAGGAAACACATTCGTACGGTCCCCCCGCTGTCTGTGGAATCCTCTTTCGGCAGCCTGAGTGAACTAGCACCCCCACGATGCCTCCCAGTGAGAGCAGGAGTGCACGCTTCATAATCTGACATCGTTAGTCTATGAAGTCTTACCCCTGAGCAGCTGGGCCTAACGCTGCCGCAAAAATAAATTCCCGTTCTCTCCAGACGCCATCTCCTTACAGAAATCACCTGACTTTGAAGGAGAACTTTATAATCACAGCTAATTAGATGTCCCAGTGGTCACAGTATTTACACCTGAAAAATGCAGTGATTCCTACATTCTGCTAACTCAGGGTGACCTCCCGGCAAATGAGCACAAAACAGTAAGAGTGCGAATGAAACAATCTTTCAGCTAAAACGTACTTTCATTACCTTCCACATACGCAGTAACTCACTCGTTAACCAAGTGCCCAGGAGAAGTCTCCAGCTGCTCTGGTTAATGAATGACAAGCACGTTACAAACAGAGAACAGCAGGCACCGAGGAGCGCTGACGGCGCCCGTGCGTCTGGGGACCGCCACGTGCTAATTAAAACCGGGCAGGAGCTTACCGTCGCCGAGGTCTTGGAGGAGGTTCTCCTGGCAGGAGAAATCCAGCTTCACCTTGATGCTGACGGTGAAAGTGGCCACCTTTCCAGGTTGCAGAGGAAACTGGGCAAGGGTTTCTTCAAGTTTCCAGCTCAAGAAGTCACCGTACAATTTTTCTGCAAGGACAGTAAGAATGGAGACGATGACGCAACTGAGGCAGCAGGAGGCTCAGTAACCCCCTAGAAAACTCAGACGCACTCTCAAAAGCAAGAAAAGATGCAAATCACTTAAAATAGGACCGATCCAAGTACCAAAAAGTCCAGGAGTGCGGCTGCTTGCGAGGCCGTCGCCCGTGCCTACGAGCACCGAGCGGGCTCGTCTCCGTGTCGGGCGCAGTGCGCTCCCCGCTCTCCTGAACGGGGTCAGAACTCAGCCAAGGTTCCCACAAGTGCTTTCTACGTTCCATCACCTTAAAGAGAAATGGATCCACGTTTAGTGGGAGGTGCGTATTCAATGGGAGAGGCCCTCCTCAGGAGACAGGAACACAATCAGAAAGGGCCCGTGGAGGGAGCTTCCTCAGTTCTCCTGTCTCTAAAAGATCTTGCCCTCCAGCACCAGCGCGCCTTGGGTGTGGTGCCTTTCTGTCTCTGACTCCCTAGAGCAGGATGGGGAGCGATGATTCCTTTGTGCCACGGTGTATAAAATGGGGGCGACAACTCCGACATCACGTGGCTGTTTTACAGATTAAACAGTCATGTCTCAAAAGCAGCATCAAGACTAAAGCTGAAACTTCAAGGCAGTTACTGCCTTCCCTCCCCAAGCATTGCTGCGACCAAGATCCTCTCAATGACCCGGTCACTCACAGTCTATAAACAGGTGTTAACCAGGTTAACACATCCTTTGTCTTTATTTTTCAGTCCCATAAATTAATTCAGGATGGAAGGGGAAAAGAGACACCAGGCAACGTGCGGCCAGGGCAGGCAACCACTTGGCCCCTGCCTGCTGGAAGCCCAGACCCCTGGCCCTCGGGAGACACTCAGCAAGCAGACGATGTGGGACAGAAACATGGATTCCCAGACATCATTTCAGACTGCAGATTAGAACGGGTGGGAAAAAGTGACGTGGAAAGTAGAATACCCAGTTGAATGCACAATATAATTTCAACCGCATTAAAAGGTTCACGTGGAACAAAAGAAGAAAACACACCTACATGTTAACAGTGGTTGTATCTGAGTAGTGGGGTCACAGGTGATTTCAACTGTTTGCATTTTTTGAGTTTTCTGCAATAAGTGCATGTTACACTCTCACGCACACGCTATCCACTCAGTCCAGTGTCCAGGTTCACTGCCGCCGCCGCCCTCAAGGCCGTGGGGAGGGAAGGCCGGGAATCGGGCCCATGAAGAGTCCCGGCGCAGACTGAGGGTGCCCAGGCCTGCCCACCCGAGACAGCGGATGGGAACCTGAGCCAGCACAGCTGCTTTTCACGGTGCCCACTGCAGGGTAGGAAAAAACATGCGAACCAATGACAAGGACAACTACCACCCGGGGCACACAGAAACTGCTTACATGGTTGACACAGAGGCCCTCCGTCAACTACGTTAACACCTGCTTTTCACAGTCTACTGCTGCCCGGGTCACTCACTCAAGGAGCATCACGGCACAGCCACTCAGTACCCTCGCAGCAGGCGCAGGGCTGAGTCCTGGAGGAGATAAGGAAGACGTGGCCCCACCCACAAGGGGCAAGGGCCTCGGGGAGGATTCTCTGCCTGGAGGAAGAAGCAAGCAGGGGAGCACAGAAGAAGCCCCCAGCAGCCTAGAGATGACAGAGGCCGTTCTTCTCAACCTAAACATTTCTGAAAAGTTACGACATACACGTTACCTACAGAACAGGTTCCATAACTGCTGAAAGAATGAACTGCCCACGTCTGGGTGGCGAATAAGTAAGACTTGACTCCCTGTCCCAGAGGCCTGAACTCAGAAGTGAGCCTGTCGAGGCCCCAGGTTTGTACAAAAGAACTCATTCTTTCAGCTCTTAGTCTAGCCTGCCAGGAATGTGTGAGTCGTGCAGGGAGAACAATAAAAACCCTAATTACAGCATGATTCTCAGCTATTTGGCCAACTTCTCACTTCTCAGAGTGTTTCTGAGAGATGAACTCTGCTCCAGTGAACTCTGAGATGTCCTCGGGGCTCCCAAAGTTGGCCACAGGACACCCAAGGCCGGCTGTGTCTCAGAGATCACGAGCAGGGGTTGATAACAGATGCGAAATTAAAGAAATACCGTCAACTGTGATTTCAGCTGGGCTGTGGGGGGCACCTACCTAACACAATCCCAAGGAGGGAAGGGGAACAAATGCACGTTTATTGTGCGCTACGTGCTGTTACTTAAAGCACCACCGCCCGACAGTGGATCTCTGCGGAGGGCTTCCCTGGGGCAGGCTCGATGCTGAGACCTTGTCCTGTGTCGCCGGTGCTGTCTCACTGAATCCACACGCTGACTCTCTCAATAGGTCCCACTACCATCCCCATTGCGGGGAAGCTGCCTGAGGCCATACTCTGTGCTGTACCACCTGCCCTGAATATGTGTGCTTGTTTAAGCCCAAAAACAAGCCTGTGAAATAGTGCTGTATTTCAGGTCTGAAAGGTGTATTTTTTCCCTTGTTTTATCTTTGGCGTGGGCACTGCTGGGTGTTTGGCTTCTTGGGGCCCAGGGAGCCCTGTGGAGGCGACATCAGAATGCCTGACACTTACACGCTGTCAGCAAGAAATGCCACCAACCCCAAACAGCTAACCGGGAACTTGAAACTCAAAGTCCCCGAACTCCCGGCCAGACACCCTGACTTCCCCTGCCCTCCCTTCTCGCACATTTGTTCCCCACTCATCTGTGCTCCCACTGAGTGAACACATCGAATCTCGCACGACTGATTACAAGTCACGTCAGTTGGTCTCAGATGAACTTGTTTTGTGAACTTCTCCGGAGTGCCCCCAGACCTGTATCAAATGCTGCCTTGCACAGAGAAGCCGCTACAACCACGTGGCCGAGGGATCTGGAGCTGAATGAGCTCTAGTCACTCCTGAATGTCCCCCTAGGAGGCACACGGGTAGATCCATTCACTGCGGTTACTCAAAGGCAGCAGAAATAATACCGGATGTGCGGTCAGACTTCAACTCAATCCAGTGAACATGCCTGACTCCCACTCAAAATTGTGGGCTCCTCCAGGATAGACTTCATGTATTATTCATGTGCCTGGCGTGGTGACTGAGACAGATAAGGGACAGAAAAAGGACTGCTGAACAAGAGGAAGCCGAGTGAATGAACCTCGCTGTAGAGGAGAATAAGCAAGGCCTTCACAGCAGGAGTGGCATCGCTAGTTCTCTTAAAGGAGCAGGAAAGCTTGGCCTTTGGCTGGTCTGTGAGTGGCGGCTGGGATCTGAGCGGGCAGAGTTCTGAACACATGACCACGTGTCCCAAGGTGGCCGGAGGACAGACACCAGGGGAGCACCTCCTGCGCCCGGGGGGCAGGGGTGTGGAGCCAGCTCTCCTGGGTGGCCCTGGTGCCCAGCACCATGGCCAGCAGGAAGAGGGTGCACAGTGAAGGCTCGCTGAAGAGCTGAGCAAAGAATGCAGAGCTGGTGACAGGACAAACACATGAGCAAATGGGGGTAAAACGGCAGACCGGAGACAGAGAGAAGTTTCCGCACGCCCCGCAGGCGCCCAGCACAGGGACGGCGGTCGTCCTGCCCCGAAAGCACAGAGTCTGAAACAAGGAGGAGACTAGGTATTTGTGCAGAAAAGAAAGGAAAGAAGACAGGTAGGCAGCCAGCTAGAGGGTGGATTCCCTGAATGCCGGCCCGAGAAGCAGATGCAGTAAAGCTGTGCAAAACGTGCTGAAGAAAGGGGAAGAGAGCGGACGCTGCTCCAGGTCACGACGGAGGTGGCATCGATGACAGCGACCACCGCTTACAGGAGGGGCTACTGCTTCCAGGCCCCGTCGTGCACGAAGGGCTGAGCGCATGTCCAACACCCGGAAGAATGCCACAGTGCTCCCCCCGTCTCGAGGACACAGACAGACGCCAGTAACGTGGTCCAAGTCATCGGCCAGTAAGCGGCAAGGCCAGGGCTCCAGCTCCAGTTTGTCTGATTCCAGAGACGGTCATCTGAACCGTAATAACTAAGTTTAAAATGGAGGATGGCCTGATCCCAGGGGGTTCCTACTAGCCCACTTCCCCCACTGAACCGGTGTGGCCACAGCAGCCTCCTCCCAGCTCCCCGACATCCGTCTTCGCCCAAACACGCAGGGGGAGCTTGGTGCCAACATTGAGGGGAGACTGAAGAAACTGGGTCTTTTTTCCCTCAGGACACTCACATGCCTTGACAATGCTAAGGAGTAACAAAGTGCTTTTCTACAAGATTTATTTTTTAAATTTTGCCGTGTATTACTGTAATTTTTTTTAAGTTATATAAAAATAGCATAACATAAGCAACTCGTAAAGAGCCCAGGCCAAAAAAAGTAAGAAGAGTAAGGGTAACTCTGACTGAAACTCCTCCAGGGCCCTTCAGCCAGCTGGTTCCCGAGCCCCTCAGGTCCTGAGAACAGGACTCAGGGAACAGGTTTCCCCAGGCGACTAGGGACAAAGGAGCCAGTGAGCTCCTCTCTGTCAGAGCTGCCACGGCCTCCTAGGCTGCTGCTAAGCGTCTCGCCTCTTCTGGGCTCATTCCCTGTGTGATGAGCAGGTTTAACGCCAGAACACCCTCACTCATCCAGGGAATCATTCAACTTCACCACTCCAGGGAAAATCTGAAAGCAACAAGAAAGCGAAGATGGTTTCTGAACTGCTCAAAGAGAGGTCAGCCCAGGAAACGCAGAGCAAAGCCCTCACCTGCCTCGGGCGGGGTGTGTGTCTGCTGCTTCCGAGTCGGCCCGACCACTCTGAGGCCCGGAAGCAGACCCTCCCCAGAGCGGGGAGCGGGAGCAAAAGCAGCAGCTCATTCCCCCACGTGAAGGGGAGGGAGCTTCCCAGGTTCTCATCAGCTGCCACGTGCCAGGCCCCGTGCCGGGCGCCCAGGAGGTACCACCGCTCATTCGGAATCACCACGTGGGAGGGGGTGGGGTCGGGGGAGCCCAGGCTGCAGCACTGATCCCTCAGTGGCCCGGGGACCATGCACCTGGGGACAACA